CTCTCTCTCTCTCTCTGTGTGTGTGTGTGTGTGTGCGTGTCTAGTTTTAAGTTATGCACCCGGATGCTGTTTGTGTCTACGTGTATGTCTAGTTTTCATTTGTGCACCTGGATGCTACCTGTCCTGGTTTGGTCACTGCCAACCGATACACAATTTGAAACGAGATCAGTTTTCACCTGCTTCGTCCCCATATAGGCACATCCATGTATTCTGAACACCATGGTAATTGCACTGCACAAGTTTAGAGGTGAAGGCCAAGTAAAGAACCAAATCACAAAGAAGAGGAACCTCATCACCTTACTCACTCCTCACTGAACCCGCGGGTCTCGAGAAGCTAGTCATAGAGAAGAGTGGAACTGGAAGGAATGGAACTCTCCTTCTCACCAGCTCATTCCTCCCTGATCCTCTTATGGGCAAAAACTATGCAACGAATTGGAACGAAAACCGTTGTTTTGTCAAATCTGTACTGGAAAATGCGATATGTGAACCAAGTTCACATTGCTTGTTCAGGACAAAAGGTTGTGCAGATAATGGTAGGACTCAATGCAGAAATAGTGGTCAAACATCTTTGCATGTGTTCTCTGATCAAAAAAATTGTGCTCAGGTACCTGGAAGGCACTACCCTGAGACTTGCCTCTCAAGTGGTAGGCTATGGTTAAGCGTGTCAGACATTTGTCTGTCTGAGGGCCACCTCTTGGTTGGTCATCAAAAAATGCTGGAGCTGCCTTGGATTGTCTTCTCGGTTTTTATATTTCCATTATCCTTAACATTCAGATGTGCAAGGATCAGGCTCCTCGGCAGGCCTCAGGGGCCCCAATTGCAATGTGTGCCCGCCCTAAGGGAAGGCAGGCCTGACAAAATTACGAGAGGCCCATTGTTGGAACCCAGGCCACGGCCAGTAACACTTTGTTTCGGCCTTCTAGGCCTTTCTTGGAAGCAGGCCCTGCCGCATCTGCAGCAGTATGCACGACAGGCAGTTGGGAGGCGTAACCAAACGGGGCCCCGAGCAGTTGCAGCAGAGGCCCAGCTACGCAGGGCCTACCGGAAGCTTCTGGGCAGAGGCCCAGCCCAGCCAGGCAGCAGATCAGGCCAGGCTCCTTCCATATAGGAAGGAGCTCGTGGCCTGGCCATTCATTTGGGCACTTGCCATTCGTGCGGCAGCGCTGCTTGAGCCTGCGCTCACAAGCTGTAGGCTGCGCTAGGCAAGGTGCTCGTGCACGCACGGTCGTGTCTGAAGGGCGCTGCTGAGGGCAGCGCCATAGCTCGGCTTCCATAGCTGGCTGGGCTTGGGGATAAGGTGAGGTGTAGTGGTGGTCTTCGTGCATGAGGGAGAAGACGTGGTTGAAAGACAAGGGAGAGCGAGAGAGAGAGAGAGAGGTGAGGATGATGACGTGAGGGCACGTACCTGGTCTTGGCGATAGTCTGTAAGGGGCGACATCTTCATGTACTTCGGTGGCTGCTGACGTCAATAGCTGCATTGCCAATTCGTAGGCCGAAAGTAGCCGTGTGATAGTAGTCTGGGCGCTGAGCGCCAAGTAGGGAGAAGGGCCCTGGATACTTACGTTGGTGATGGCGAGAATAAGCTCTGATTGACACTCGGATTCTGTGTTTTGGTTCTCCATTGGTGTAGTATTGGTGCAATTCTGCTTTCTGGACAGTGTGGGACTTTCTGGCGTTCAACGCGACATTGCGATCTGGAATCTGTCATTTTGCTATTGCTCATTTTCCTTGCAGACGCACATCCTTTCAGCTATTCTTTCTTGTTTATCTTCGGCATGTTCGTAATTGAAGTTCCTTAAATGCAATTTACGAAAGCAAACCACTTGTATCTGCAAAAGTTTAAATTCGAAAAAATGGGAATCTATGAAAAGGATGAGTTGAATTGAAACGGTATTCACCAATTCGTGGTAGCTGAGGTAGATCCCAGGGCTCGA